TTGGAGAAGACAAGAATTAACAACGCAGAGGAGAAGATGGCCATGCATTTTATCCATGACCATTTATGACCAAGTCTTAGTTTGCTCTGTTCTCTCAACACTGAAATAAAATTGGATTTATACTAAGATACCATCCTGTAAAATAGATTTGTGAAATGCAGACTTCTGCCAGTGCTGCTTTCACTTGCTCTTAGAGCACTGCATATGTTTTTGTCCAGTGAATGTCACTTACAGCTGTCATAATCAAATTAAGCGAACCAGTGACAATTAAATTGATTTCTTCCATGGGAATAGATCAAAACTTCTGTATGTCTTCATAAAGGCCATATGCTTTGAAAATGAGAAACAGATGTTGTATTTTTGTTATGTGAGTCATATGTCCAGGCCTGTATACATATGTAGCCAAACCTTTCTTTCTATGAGAGATTTAAAAAAAACAGCAACAACAAAAACTTGTTTAATTGCTTTTAAGAGCAACCCATCTGTGCATAAAAATCTATGGGTTTATTAACTTGTGGTTTTAATCTGGTATTTGGAATTCTGCTTTGTTTTAGTATGCATTCATATTGAGATGGTCTAGTTAGTCTAATACGTTTTCAATTTAAGCTACTGCCTATAACTTCTAAAATTCAAGCACAGAGCAGCTAATCCAGGGGAAAAAGTTAACTTCAAGTTGAAGCTTCTGGGAAATTCTATCTCCTGGATTATCTTTTTTTTTTTTTTTTTTTTTTTTTTTTAACCCCAAAGATTGGTTGCAGCCAGAAAGTGAGGTACTTTAGAGATATTTCTCCCACTGCCGTAGCTGATGGCTGCTGTATGAGGGATTATTACTCAAGTGCTATTAAATGAATGGCCGCTTTGCACAAGAGGAAGTTGTTTAAGGGAAAAGCATTTTCTTTTTCTTTGTAAATCACTGATTACTAGGGAATATAAAATGGCATTTTCTTCTGTTCTGGCCATTTCTTCTATTCAAGTTGAGATACGTGAGCTATGCTTCCAACTGCTGCATAAAGGTTCTTAAAGAAAAGCTTTTAGGAGTTTTGGACTCTTCTGTCTGCACAGCTGGTAAAGTAGTTAGTCTCTATGGCTCAGTAGCTGGTTTTGACATTTAGTGCTTGGATCTCACATTTCAGGAATGTGAGGTCAGAGCTACTAATGGTTCAAGTCTTTGCTTAAAGCTGTCTAAAAATGAGTGAATACATAATAGTGTTAATATTTCTAATTGGACTGATGCAAAGTTGGTTTCTTTTGTGGTAAGGGAGCTTGAGGATAACTTAATTTGACAAGATGCAGCTTCTGGTGAAATACATTTTAGGAGATCCTGACTTTTATTTTCTTTCTTAAAACCAAAACCAAATCAAAAGCAAGTTCTTCTGTTTCAGTACAGGTGATGGTGGGGTTTTAGTTGTCTGCTTTTTTGTTGTGGTTGTTTTGGGGTTTTTTTGAACTTTTTTCCCCAGTAAGAGTAAATAGTGATATCAAAAGAACCTAACCAAGGAAACAGAAATGTTTGTGGTTATACTGATAAAACGTTAAACTAGTCATCTCATTGGCCACCAGTTACCTAAAAGGTGGCTGTATGGTCTCATATATTTCTGTAAGGCCCCTTTATAAGCAAGAGGTCATTCAGCTTGCTTCACTTAGATCCCTGTCATTGAATTGGAGGCTTCTGTTTTCCTGTAGACTTGGACAACCAGATCAGTGTAATTTTCTGGTTTCTTGAGGTCCTGAATTTGCTAGAAAATAAAAGCTGATGTTTTAGCTATCTCCCAAAAGGAAAAAAGAAAAAAAGAAAGCAGTCTTCGATTCTTCTTTCCATTAACCATCTAAGCTTATCCAGAAGTCTGAAGAAAAAGAATTCAAACCTCCTGAAGGAATTTGCTCAAATCCAAACTTAAGGAAGGGAAAAAAATTACTGGAGCTAGGGCTTACTAACAGAAATTAGTAAATAAGTGCCTCTGACAAAAGCTAAGAGCTGTATGAATTAATAATGCCATCAGTCAAGTATGTTTTCAGTAGAGGGCCTATTCTTGTTCCTCATTAATCCCTCAGCAGATTGAAAGAATAAACAGATGACATGGAAGAAGACTGAAGCTAGGACAAAACTGTTGACTTCTAGTTCTGAATTAGAGTAGAAATAATGACCCTGAACATCATCTAAGCATGCTGTCCCAACCTAGCTCAGCATGTTTTTTCTCAATCTGATACTACAGTTTTCCTTTTAGTTGTCACTTCTGCACTTAACTATGTCAAACTCTGCTTGAGACTAACCTTAAAGTCTGTTCAGGAGCTTTAGATAATACAGCAAACGTTTTTCCATTTATCTAGCAGTGAATGCAACATTGAGCAAAGAGATGGAATTTCTACAGCCCTTTACAGCTTACACTGAGTCTTTGAAATATATATATATTTATTTATTTATTTATTTATTTTTTATTTTTACTTTGCAGTAATTGAGTAGGGTTGGCTTCAGACAGAATGTTGAAACAGCTGGAGACGTTGCATGATGCTGTGTTTGTACATTAAGCCAGTTTCAGGAGATGGTGAATGAGTTGCCATACCTGACTGATGTGCAGTTGGTATTGATTTTAATGATACAGGAGAATTGGGAGTCTCTGGTAATAAGCACAAGGGATCTCTTTTTTTCCTGTCCAGACACTTAATAGACCTGCACAATAAATTTCCTCTGATAGAAGTCTGGAAGGCAGTGTCATAAATTATCCTAGAAAAGAAATCCAAAGTGGGAGTCCACGTGAAGAGACATTCTGCCCTGCTGTTGCCTTGAGGATGGCAATCTTTGCTGTCTTTGTAGCTGTAAAGCTTAGAGATGTCTCATACTATACAAATACACAGGAGAATAACCTTAAATATGAGGACTCTGTCTGACTTATTTAATATTGTATTTCTGTATGACCACTGATCAGGAAATGAGCTTTTGCGTATGGGGATGGGTGAATAGATTTTAAACTAGAAGAGCAGAGATTTAGATTAGATATTAGGAAATTTTTTATTCAGAGAGTGGTGAGACACTGGAACAGGTTGCCTGGAGAAGCTCTGAATGCTCCATCCCTGGAAGTATTCATTGGGGCACTAAGCAGCCTGAAACTGCTTGTTCTTTTTAAGGTCTGTTCCTACCCAAGCCATTTTATGATTCTATTTATGTGCATATATTTAAATATATAAAATGTTTATAACAATATAAATATGTATTTATATATAGATAATATGTATATAGCATTATAAAACTGAAATGAGTAGAGAGATTTTCCTGATTTTAATATTTTTTTTTCATTTAACCATACCTATTTGAATTCCTTCATGTGAAAATATTAAGCATTAAAATGAAGTGTATGAAAAGCACTATCTTAATACATATTCATAAATTCCAAAGACTACATTCTACTCTCATATGATTTTCTGATAGTATGTCTGTAAACTGTTTTGATTTATTTTACATAATAAAAAGGGAAAGGATGAAGAGTTCAGTTTACTTTTACTTTCTTTACTTCTACTTTTTCCAGTCCATATGACTTCACTGAAATGATTTATTCTGTTTTATGTTGATGAGCCAAGGGTTAAAGTTACAGCTCTGCCCCAAGGAACTTGTAATTTAGTTAAAACATATGAACCTACATTCTAAGATCTCAGTGGAGCTGTTGCACCTTTTTGACTATGAATTTGTGTGCAATCAGTTGAGAACCCGAGAAACAAATTAGAAAGTGTAATGATCTGATAGTCAGTAAAGCTCTCCCAATAAAAATGCCTTCACTGCAGGCAACAGTCCTCGCTTCTTGTTGAAAGGTCTGTGCTGGGGTGCCACAGTTGGTGAAGTAATACTCTCAGAAGGCCCCCTAGGTTCCATGAAGTGACAGCAGCAGTATATATTTCTTCCTGAGGAATCAGTTAGGAACCAATGAAAATGTGATCCTCTGTACAGACAGCACCCAGCAAATTGAGATTGCAAATAAGGTTTTTACTAGAAAAACACTACTGAAAAATAGATACTGATTATAGAAGAACTTATTTTAGGATGCTTCTCAGCTGCTTGGACTATATGTGGGGTAGGGTATCTAGCATACAGTAGAGCTGGCGTTAAGCCCCTGTCTGCTGGTAGCTCATGGATGGTTGACTTTAGTTTAAGCCTTTAAGTCCTGTTCTTTGTTCTGCAATTTTACGAGTGCCTTGTGGAAAGGCATCTGTGAGCATGACTACCTTCTAGGCATGACTACAGCGAGGTGAATGACAGTGCTGAAATGCATCACACTGTGCAAATAGTATTCAGGCATATCTATCTTAAATGCATAAATATTCATCTAATTAAAAATTTAATATACATGTATACTGCTTATTGAAATTCATAGTGATACGCTAGCTTCATCAGTCTGCCAGAGTTGGAAACTGTGGCATCAAGTACTTAATGAACAGATCCACAAGTAATCTTCAGAAAAAGCCTAGAATTAAGGCCAAATCTGAGGAGCTTTGTACTTCTTATGACATTTTTCCCCCTTTGGCTTTCATATTGTAGAAGCCACATGAAAGCAGCAGGATGTCTTGAACTTCATTCTTGAATGTATTATAAAATACTGCGGAGCAGTACACTTGCTTCTTTCTCAGAATGAGAATGTCTAGTGTTTATTTCCCTAGAAATATGAAAGTTGGATTTGATATCTTTGCTCTATGCAGTAGATCATCGTTACTAGGAAAAGTGTTTAGTCTCTTAATAGTACTACACAAATCCTTTCTTCTCAATGGAAAATTTATGAGAACCACTACAAATCTGATGGAACAGAATCAAAACAGTATGTTCAGGGAGTATAAATCAAATAATGTCCTCCAAGTAACTATGTTTCAGACTTATTCTCAGTACGTGTTACAATCCTGAAAATAAAAGTTGTGGTGAAATGATTCCTTGTACTTCCTTGTTTTCTTTCCTCATGTTTCTGCTGACAGACAGCATTTAAAATTCTCCTAACATACTCTCTCTGCTTCGTGTGTTGCAGGATTATGACTTGAGCCAGCTCCAGCAGCCTGACACTGTAGAACCAGATGCCATCAAACCTGTTGGAATCAGACGTCTTGATGAAAGGCCAATCCATGCAGAACCTCAGTATCCAGTCAGATCAGCTGCTCCTCATCCTGGGGACATTGGGGACTTCATTAATGAGGTAAAAGAGAGAAAGAGTTTCCTCCTCTGGTCTATAAGGTTTTATATTTTCTTAATTGTACTCTGTATGAGTAGCTATTAAATTTGAACATTATAACTTTTAAAAACTTACTTAAACAATTAAAGTTGTCCTGCTAAATTGAACTAAATACATTCTTTTAAAGTGCAGACAAATTTAATTAACTCATTCAAACAGAAAGGAGAAGATATATCAATTAACTTCTGCACATTTGTATTAATTACATTCATAATACGTTATCAGCCACAACCACAGTATCTCCAAGCAGGATTATTCTTTGGGTTCCAATTAATAAATAGAATAACAAAATTATAGTTTAGCCTAAATTCATTTATTAATTCAGAATAATTTAATAATAGAAATAGTTCATACTCATTTTCCTCATATATTACCCTTTGAAGCCGGATAGTAGTGGAAATTCTGTACGTTCAGTAAGGCCAGAAGAATTCCATCAAATACGATTAGTGAGCAGGGCAGCTAAATTAAATGTTATGTAAGTGCTTTTAGTACTTGTCATAGAGCTTTAAAAGTCTTTGCATTATCTTTGATTCTTCAAATTAATAAAGATAAATGTAAGTAAGATTCACACTATAATGAGATTATTCACGCTTCTGAAAGTAATAACATTACAAATATTTGTTTCATTATTTTATTCACTTGTCTATGTTAAGTCGTTGATTTTTATGTAACTTAGGACAGTAGAATGCATTTCTTGTGCTCACTGATGACAGAAAAACAAATATTTATTTTAAGTTGTAAATTATGGTTTAGTAATTCAGTATTCTGTAGATTAATAGAAGTAAATTATATTCTCTAATTTTCTTATATCTCTGGCAGTTACTAGCTGGGTAAGTATTGAAGGGAACAGTTTTTGCAGATACGTTTCTTTTTGTTTGTTTTAAGAAAAAAAACAGACTAATACACTGAAGTCTCTGCTGTGTTAGCAGGGTGTGTAAAATGGAGTTTGATCCTAGTAAGATACACAGCAATACTATATAAAGGAAGGTAACTAGCTGTAAACTAATCCAATTAGATGTTATTTAAGAGTATCCCGACTTGTGGAATACCTCTATTAGAATGAAGTGGCTTAGCAAAATGGATCTTTGCATGCCTTGTACTTCTAAATGTTTCAAATACATTTGACTTTTGTAATAAAGCAGAGTCATGGAAGAACAAAATGCCCAAAATTGTGTACATACAAGAACTTCCTTACAGCCCCTCGTCTTCTTCCAGATGATCAGTTTCCCTTCCTATTCTCCTATGAGTGTGCCTGTACGTTCCTAACCTGGCAAGTGCTGGCAAAGACACTATGATACTCAGTACCCTGATTTTTCTCATGTTTGCAGCAGTGTTGACACTCATATGGATCCTAGATGAGAAATGAGGGAGTGATTCTCAACAACCAGAAAAGGGACAGTTTGTCCAGTCTTACACAATTTTAAAATTACTCAGCAAACTGCTTCAGCAATGCTGTTTTTCAGTATGTTGTCACTCCTGAAGAATCTGTTATAAATGGATAGAAGCAGTAGGCTCTATCTTTATTTAACCCCATGCTTATATCTTAGTACCAAGCTAGGAATCATTTTCTTACTGACCTCTGTTGTATTAGCTCAGTACCTTCCTGCATATTTCCTTTTCCTCTTCACCTAAAAGAGAAGGGTTCTTCCAGCTAGTTTTATATTGTAAAATGATGCCAATAATATAATTCAATCCAAAACAAAATTAGCATTAGATTTATATACAAAATTTAAGCATGGCAATTTTATTTGCAAACTAACTGGTAATCAGTTGCTTCCTCATATTGAAAAGAATTACATGATGTAGATTCTATGTTTCAAATGTTATATATTTAGCTTCTTTTTGTTGTAAGGTGTTTCTTTCTTAGGATTTTTATTTCGTTTTACTGTGGAGCATTTCACCTAACTCTCTCTGAAGTGCACAATTATTGCCTAGGATTCTATATGCTCTGTTTTACCAGAACACTGAGCAAAATGAAGACTATTTCTCCACAGTAGTTGTATCTTAATTTGTATTATGTCAAAATTTACCATGGCAAACATGATTCTAGGATGTTTATTAGAACAAAAAAAAAAAATCAATTGCTTGCTGTAGTAGTCACTATTACAGTTAATATTCCAAATAATCAGTATCCTGTGCATAAACATCAAGGTTGCACAGGTTTTCAAATTTGCTTCAGATAACATCCTTTGCCGCGTGTTGCAAGCAACCCCAGCAAGGTTATGACTGAATAGTTCCGTTTTCAAGTCTCTCAGTTTTATGTGGAATAAAAGAAGGAAATATCTTTGCTAAAGATGCCAGTTTTCTCTTTTAGGATGATAGTTCAGACAGAAGATATGCTAAGCTGTGAAAAGACATAGCAAGATAAGAAATGGTAAAGTTCATACTTCTTTGCATCCATACCTGGCATGGTTAGGCAAAGAACTTTCTTCCACTGCAAGTCACACCATAACTTCTCTTTTGTTCAGCCCTAACCCAGATCATGTCCCAAACTAACCGAGTTGCTAGCTGAACAGAGAGGGGCTGCCTTTTAGTTGTCATTACCTCTGCAACAAAGTTTGCATTTACTTTGCTGGCTTGAAAACATGCAACCCTTTTTGCAGATCAGTCCTGTATTTTGGAGGATTTGGCCCTGTTCCCAGAGATGCTGATCACTGAACCTTTGGGATGCTACCCCACGTATGGGAATTAATTCAGACTGTTGAATGCTCACCAGTACCTCAGACACTCAGACACAGTGCCAGTATTGTTCAAACTGGCTACCAAATTACTTCAACTTCTTGGCAAAAAATAGCCGTACATCATTTGTGTCAGATACAAATACAGAGAACTTAGCTACCACCACCTGAGAAAGCATGGGGTATTTTTTTCCTCTTGATCCTATTACAGAGGAACAGAAGGTGAAAAAGACCTACTGGATCATCTTCTTTCTGTTTGGCAGTACTTACTTTGTTTCTTGCAGTGTATTATTTTCCAGCTGTCATCAGTTGTATTAAGTCTACCTAATTCAATGAAACGTGTAAGTATGAGTATTTTGTAGTGTTCTAAAAACTTCTCATTGGAAAAACAAGTTAGAAGTATGATAAAGCCTTCAAGAATTTTTATGACACTTGCAAAGTTAAAATAAAACATGAACTTTGTAAAAATAAGAAGGTTCCAAAGGTGCCTTATAATCAAAATATGTTTTGCAGGCATAATCTAAATGACCTCGGGGACTTTCTTGTTTTGTCTGTTTCAGTGGATAGATGAATCTCTAATTTAAGGGAGGGGTGGGCAACGGAAAAACTTCCTTTTATTCCAGTTCAGTGTACAAACAAGTCAGGGAAATAAGTCATGTGTTATTAAGAATCCTCTGCAGACATTGTTTTCCATTTTGAGCTTTTTAAAACATAACCTACAGAATGTGGAGCATAACTAATGCTAAGAGTATTCAGGATTTGCAGGCAGTATAAATCAGACCTAAGCTCATTTTCAATAATCACCTATGCTGTCCCTAGAAATCTTAAAGAAATTATTCACAAACTCTCCACCACAATAAGAATATATTTCTAATCAGTAGAGGATATAGCTTGAGGTAAATTAAATCACAAACTGAAGGTCTCATCCCATGAGAACGTGGAGGACACTTGATTCATCCTTAGTAAATGGTTATTGATACAGTACACCTCTGAGCAGAACATGGTCCCTCAGTGTTTTCTGTGTTCTCTCATCAAGTGAAAAAACAAGTTGAAACCATTTTTCATACTTCATTGTAGGGCTCTATTCTTTCATTCTCATCAAAAGTCTGTTGAATCTGATTAAGTAATAGGATCAATAAAAATAAAAGCATTAGATCAGATTTTGTAAAGTTTCAACTTATTTTGAGATCTTGCAGATTTCGTTTTTGCTCTTTTTGGGACTAGGCAAGTATATACGAGACCAAGCAAGTTATACAAGTACAATTTAAGGTCGCCATCATTGTTCTATTAAGGCATTGTAGTCTTTCCTCTTCGTCCTCTTTATCTCCTGATCAGTGAAAGGATGTGCAGCACATAAGGAAGAGGAGTAAGTGAGGTTGCTAGTCATTCTGTCCTAGATCTCAAGCTCTCTTTTGTATTGCCATGACCTTATTGGCTGTCACATCAGCTTCTCTTCAGTGACTGCTTTTTATGCATTGCTTGTGTAGCAAATGCAACGAAATGTATCTTGGTTCACCATCTTCCAGGGAGATATTCTGCTCTCAAGTACATGTCCCTTCAATTCAGCTGTTGAATTACCTCTGACTACCTCTAGTGGAAACTGCAGGTTTTCAAGATCAGGAATCGGTAATCAAAACAACAGGAAATCCTCTGTTCTGAAGTTCTTGAGCACCTCTGAGAAATACTAAGGAATCTTTTGAGGAGTGGTTGACAATACCACTCCAGCAAAAACAGTGTAAGCAGTCACTAGGAATCATTTTTGCCTTCTCAGTCATGCCAATACAGCGCTTTGTGGTACTGGAAGGAATGGCATAGTAAGCGAAAAGATGGCAGTGCTAAAACCAAGGGGAGTTTCATTAGCCAATTTCATTGCCAAAGCTGACATAAAGCGTCTCCAGCTTCAGATATGCTGTAGAACCCAGCAGTTCAGAGAATATGCTTAGCAGAAGGGATGTAAAAAGTTGTGCTATTTCTTAATCATCTTAATATGCCATACAAATATGGCAGAGAACTTTGTTGTCTTAAAGTTAGAAACTATGTTCGTTAAATCTAGAGTCTGAGGAATTGTTAACTGTAATAAGTCGGTATCCTGCGTTTGACTGGCTGTTCCCAGGCAGAACTGCAGGGAAATAGCACTTCCTTGCCAAACCTCCTTTGTAAATGACTTTTACACAGAAACACCTGAGATTCCTACCTCAGCACTCCTTAAGTATTCACCTTCCTTGTCACCTCTGCCCAAAAAGCGTGGGAGTACATCACCCCAAGCAGGCTTAAGTGAAGGTGCAAATACTGTAAGGACTGCTTAAGACTTAAATTTAGATTTCTGCTTCAGCAGCAGAAATAAAGAGAAAGCATTGGAACTATTTGAAGGTTTGAAGCTGGACAAAGGAAATCTTCCAGCATGTATTTGCTGTTGCCTTTTAGGAATCTTGAATCATTTGCCCTTATTGCAGCTGTCAGGATGGAAAATTCCAAAGAGAAAGATAACAAGCATCACCAATTATTCTTATCAGATAATTCAAAATTATGCTTCTAATACTGGCTATTAATAGCGTGCTTGATGTTGTTGTACTACGCGAAACGATCGCTTTAAATCCAAAATATGTTCTTGATTGGAGGTCATTAGTTTGATAATTATGCTGGGTCTATCCAGCATTGATTTGCAAAACTATTTTAGGTACATTTTGCACACTTCTGAATGGTTTTAGATGCTAATAATCAAGTTTCTTTTATCGATACTATAGGTTTTAATTAACGAATTCGGATACATATATATTTATAGGGAAGAAAATTCAGACGTTTCTGTTATATCACATTCTTACCATGCACTGTTTGGTTTAAAACATACATTTGTAAAAATGGCATCTTAAATAATTCAAAGGAGACACAATCAATCCTTTAAAAAAAGAATAGAAGATAGCAATTTTTCGAAGAAATAAATGAGCATCAAAAATTAACAGGAAAATTGGCACAAATTGCACTGGTTAAAATTAATCTAACAGTGAGAAACTTGAAGCCTTAGCTGAGGCTGCAAGAACCTTGGCAGTCGCATTATTCCTCATCAATAGCTGCCAGAATAGATCCATCCTGAAAGTGGAAGGTCTTGAAAATCACTGCTAATCCTGTGCAAGAAACTACAGGGCTGAAAAATCCAAAACACAAGAGGGCTTGCATTTACTTATAACTGCAGCCTGTTATATTCAAGCTGTAAGTCTTTCCAGGCTAAGTGTGGCTCACAGCAGAGTAATAGCTTTATATTCTTTAAATTTACAGTTTAGATTTGAACTTACATTAGGAAACAGAGGAAAGTCACTCCTCTGGAAGAAGCGTGGTTCTTTTTCTGCTTTTCCCTCGTTCCGTTTTTGCTTTTGGTTTTAGATTGGGGTTATTCAGCTGTAGAGGGTAGAAGTTTAAAATTACTGAAGACCTAATATTTGTGTGTTTATAGCTTGAATACCTTCAAACAAGGAAGTGAAAATGGTTATATTGATGCATTTAGCTTTCGCGGCTCTTTTTGTGTGTGTTTTATGAGGAGCAGGTGGAATCTTATGGATGGTAATGGCAAAACACATGCGGCTTAAGCCAACATATTGTACCTTTATCTCACAGCAGCCTACAGAGGCACATGAATTTTGCAGAACTAACTAAATACAGCTTTTGGCACACACAGATGGACTGCAGGCCAGCAGTGTCAGTGGAGATGTTATTGGCCATGTGAGATAGCTGTTAAAGCAAATCTTTGCAAACATGCCTATTTCTCCTTCCCCATCTGTCTATTTAACCAGTCCCATATTGCTCATGCCTCAGGTTGTGAGCTGTACAGCTCAGAAAGTGTATATTTATTAGCATCATTCCAAGTTCAGTGATGTTCTCGTAAGATTTTGTTAGAACAGTGTGTGCAGTTGTTCCAAAACTTCCAGCTTTAAATGCTGGAAGTGTGTCCATTCTAAAGGCAATTGAAATATGTTTTTGCTGCAGTTACAGAGACATGAACCGTGCCATTCTGATTTATATGAACTGTAGAAGAAGAAGAATGATATTTTCTCAAGTGGTGGCTGGTAGATAACAGCAATGCAATGTTCCAGTTACGTGTTGCCTCACTGATACAGAACTTAACCTTTTTTTCTCTCTCATTATCACAGGGACTTAAAGCAGCCGACAATGACCCTACAGCCCCACCATATGATTCCCTCTTAGTCTTCGACTATGAAGGAAGTGGCTCCACTGCTGGATCCTTGAGCTCTCTTAATTCCTCAAGTAGTGGTGGTGAGCAAGACTATGACTACCTAAATGACTGGGGCCCACGTTTCAAGAAACTTGCTGACATGTATGGTGGAGGTGATGACTGAACTTCAAAGTGAACTTTGTTTTTGGACAAGTACAAACATTTCAACTGATATTCCCCAAAAGCATACAGAAGCTAGGCTTTAACTTTGTAGTCTACTAGCACAAGTGCTTGCTGAAGGCTTTGGCATAGGCTGCAAACCAATTTGGGCTCCGTGGAATATCAGTGATCCAATGCTGTTTGGAAAAAAATGTTGAGCTCAGTTACACTTGAATTTTACAGTACAGAAGCACTGGGATTTTATGTGCCTTTTTGTACCTTTTTCAGATCGGAATTAGTTTTATGTTTAAGGCTTTAATGGTACTGATTTATGAAATGATGCATTAAAGAAACAAGATATGTTGGGGTGGGGAGGAGTAAGGTGAATCACAATATGCTTCAATATGCTTTTGTTACATCGCATTGCTTTTATTAAAATAAGGAGACTGAAAATTAAAAAAAAAAAATCCTCATGGAACAATTTTATTATGTGGAAGAGAAGACCATGAGGTGGAACAATGTACATTACTTCTAGTTTTAGATGTTAGGGGATTTTTTTCACTAAAATTCTAAAACTTATGCAGCTGGTTGCAAATAAAGGGAGTTTTCATATCACCAGTTTGTAGCAGAACTGATTTATTTTTTTTTTCCTTATGCTAGAATGTTAGACACATTTTGGTCGCAATCCATGTACACTTTCTTTTTTTTTTTTTTTTTTTTTTTTTACTTTCTAGTACTTTTTTCCCACTTCACTGTAAAAATGGTATGTGTACATAATGTTTTATTGGCATAGTCTGTGGAGAAGTGCAGAAACTTCAGAACATGTGTATGTATTATTTGGACTATGGATTCAGGTTTTTGCATGTTTATATCTTTCATTATGGATAAAGTATTTACAAAACAGGTTGCAAACAAGTGACACTGAATCAATTGTTGAACTGTAGTTAGAGTACTCAATATTTTTTTTATTTTTATTTTTATTATTTTTTGTTTGTTTGTTTGGGGAGGGAAAAAAGTTCCTAGCACAAAAGTTTTACATAATTTGTACCAAAAAAAAGGGGGGGGGGGGGGGGAGTTGGCCTAATACTGGTGGCACGAGTAAATATACAGTATGTTTTGGGGGTGGGGAGGGAAGGGGGAAGGAGCTTTCAAACTGGAGAGACTTCTGAGAACAGCTTTGCCTCTGTATTGTGTACCAGAATATGAATGATACACCTCTGACCCCAACGTTCTGAATAAAATGCTAATTTTGGATCTGGTGCTTGGTTTGGCAGTTTTTTTCCTACCTGGGTAAGCCCTAAGCGTAGTAAATAAAACATACACAGAGCACATTTGAATTGTGTCCAGTGTGCACTTCTTGCGCATTCAGTACTGAATGGACTGAAAATCAGCCGTGTAGAGGAGAAACTTCAGCATGGATTGGGAAGCTGAGTTCTCAGGTGAAGCAGAGTGATTGTGCCATTGCTGGGAGTTCAGAACTTCCAGTTCCATGAAGGTGACTCTTTGGTTTAATGTACTTTATCTAAATGATAAATCTTTCACCATTTTTTGGCTCATTTCTAGATTGGTTTTGTGCTGATACTGCTGGTTGTGTAAACAAGTAAGTTGCAGATCCTGACCGCCGTCTGCTGCCTGAACTCTGAAGTAAAGGCTCCTATTAACTTGGTGCACACCAGCTCACATCCCTCGAGGAGAATGCTGACAGTCATGGAAAACAAGTCCTTTTAGGAGATTAGTCATTACCAGACACATTTCTAACCTGTTACAGTGATTTATTTGCAAACAAAGCAAGCGCAGTAGGTGCAGTAATTCTGCCTTCCATTCACTTGCAACAGTCTGTTCAGCTTTAAAGTCTACATTTACACTCATTAGGAGCCTAATTGTGAGCAGTGTGAAGTCTGTAGTCAGCAGAAACACATTTCTGCAGCCTGTCGAGAGAATTGGAGCGGCGGGAGGGGACCCAGACAGAGTAGTGCAGCAGCCTTATCATTGGGAAGCCTTCGGAAGCTCTGGGTGATGCTCTTCAGCATGGTGCCAATTCAGTGCTTCCTCAGCACTCTGACTGCAATTTACTTAATGTCATTGTGTTTTCCAGAGGTGAACCCTCAAATCAGAGTCAGCATTATGTGCTGCATATGACTGTGGATTACAAAGTGAGATATCTCTTCTTCACTGAAGCTTTTCACAGGCATGTCTCCTTTCTTTCTCAATCTTGATGATGCTGTGAAATCCCCCTCAGGTTGAGATAGATCCTTTGTGTCTGCATACCTAACTGCTATTTATCTTGTGAGCTAGTAACTATAGCTTGATGCTGTAAGAAAGCCTTAATTTTTCAGTAATGTGTCAAAACTATCATTGAGGGTTTTTTTAAGCTATTTTCATGTTAATTAGTAGGGTGGGGAAAAAAATAATCTGGCTATGCATAATAAAAGATGGAACTCTTGATAAAAGGCAGCATTGAAACTGCAAAAGCTTGTTAAGTAAGCAGAAGGCCACTACTGACATGTTGATTTCTGTCCAACTTCTGTGATTTATGCAAAAACAATAATCCTGTTGTTTCTGCTGTTTGGAAACAAAGGAAATTACTTGAGATTGAATGCTAAAAGATAAGGAGAGATGCTGAGATTTCCAGGTTTGACTGTAGTCCATTATGTTGTTTAAACATGGTAGGTTTTGTCTTTTATGAACACTCAGCTCTCTTGGACAGCAATAGGAGCTCATATGTTTGAGTGTTAATATATCCATTTATCTTTGTCTTTATCAGACAATCTTATAGCTCTGTCTGCAGCTGCTTTGCGATTCTAGCAACGGTTCTCAAATCTAGTGTTAGGTCAATTTTAGGTCTACTGAACAGAGCAAAGGGTAGAACTTTTTTTGTACATCTCAAATGCTTTTACAAGGAAAAAAAAAATGTGTTCAAACTGATCCTCATTCATCCAGCTTCAGGTTTATTGCTATTATAGAAATGTGGAAGTGGTTTTTAGTCACATATACTTAAATTTCAGAGGTCTGAGAGGAAGAAGATGATCAACCTGTAGATGCTGCAGTTTCAAGAAATTCTGGCTGCATGTTTTGGAAATGAGATTTAGCAGTAATAAGTAATGCTTTTGTCTTGTAGACATTGTATCCAAGAGAAGCTGCTGACAAGGAATTGGGCTTTAGGAGCTTTCCTGTCTCACCTTTTCCGCAGTTTGTATTTCCTTTCAGTGGTAGTTCCTCATACGCTATGTCCTTCTGAAATTAAGAGGTTGGAAAGGTGAGTAGAAGGGTCTTTGTTGAGGATGAGTGTCATAAATAGACACAGAAGACCTTACATACAGATAGATCTAGCTTCCTGTGTTTATTCTGAGATTGCCAAGTATACTGGTGAAGGATCATGGAATCCTAGAACAGCCTAAGTTGAAAAGGACCACAATGATCATCCAGTTTCAACCCCCTGCTATGTGCAGGGTCACCAATCACAAGACCAGGCTGCCCAGAGCCACATCCAGCCTGGCCTTGAATGCCTCCAGGGATGGGGCATCCACAGCCTCCTTGGGCAACCTGTTCCAGTGTGTCACCACCCTCTGTGTGAAAAACTTCCTCCTAATACCTAGCCTAAACCGCCCGTCTTAGTTTTAAACTATTCCCCCCCTTGTTCTATCACTGCCCATCCTGTGAAGTTTGTAACTATTCAGATTGTAACAGGCTAAAAACCATACTTAGGTTTCCTCTACATAGTCCAACTAAATGATAGTAGAGCTCTCAATTGGTGACTACGTTGTCAGTGATGCTGCTGCTGTGTAGTGCTGTAGCACCGTTACAGGCTAGGTGTAAAGCTCACTGTGATCTTTCTGAATTACAAAAGACCCACATAAATCAGTTTGATAAGGCAGGCAGTAAGCACTGGCTTCTCCTGCTCCAAATTATTTTGTCTTCTTTGACTGTGCTTTATAAAATGTTTATGAATTCATGTAAATTTCAAATGAAAGATGTTTAATTTAGTGTCTGAATTTGCATACAGAAGATGTTTCACAGTTGTGAACAAAAACATTTTAGAGAGCTATTTGCCTCCTTTTGGTGCCAAAGTAGCAAAGTTTGTTCTGATGCTTAAAGCCACATGTAGTCTGCTTCTTGGGAGCTCTGGTTCTTGCTATATTGTATTTCTGGAACCCCATCAAGTTCCTAACCCTGAAGAGAGTTTGACTTTACTGCAACTGGGCCCTATTCACCTTATGTGTTAAGGGTGTCTTCTGATAGCAATTAGGCACAAATTACTGAAAGGGTCTTTCCAACATGTCTAGTCATTCAGGATGTCCAGGTAAGCCACTGCCATTTCCTACCTTAGAAAACTACTTGCAACATCCTAAGGAGCCTTCTTCCTAGCAGGAGTAGCATGGTTTAAGCATATGTACTTTTCTGGGCCAGGAGTATGACAGCAGAGTACTGCTGTTAACTTGGTCAATATTAATTATTCAAATAAAATGCAGCAAAATCATTTAAACGCATCACTACACAACAGACAATGGTGTATTTTATACATGTTACTTTCTTCATTCAGCCAGAGATGATGTACTTCACATGGTGTCCTTTCTTTCTTCATCTTCTTTATGTAAGTTTTACTTCTTTTAAGAAGCAAAGATCATAGAGTCATAGAATCCTAGAATGGCCTGAGTTGAAAAGGACCACAATGATCACCTAGTTTCAACCTCCCTGCTCTGTGCAGGGTCGCCAACCACTAGACCAGGTTGTCCAGAGCCACATCCAGCCTGGCCTTGAATGGCTCCAAGGATGAGGCATCCACAACCTCCTTGGGCATCCTGTTCCAGTGGATCTTCCCCAGGAGTTTCCTTAAAGCATAGCATAACTGTTTTTTGCTTAGTGTGTGCCATAGAAAAAGTGGGAATAATGAGGAAGTTTTGGGAATAATTAAGAGTTTTCCCCTGAACTACAAAGCCCAGATGAGAATCAAGATAATAGTTAAGAAATGCTGAGTACTTATAGGAATTCAAGGTACTTTCCATCATACAGGCAGGGAAAGAGCATTGCTACTCTGTTTGGGACCCTTTGATTAACCATCACAAGGTCCTCTTCAACTAACCTGCTTCTGGAATGGGCAAACTGCTTTTGTCAGCATAATGGAGAACTTGAAGATGCCTCTTCTCTGGAGCTTCTGCTGTGATGACACTGCCTTTCATTATGGGGTAAGTTTCACTACGTTTTACCCAATCTTTCCAGTCTGTTCACCAAGATGATTGAACAGTGCAAAAACTCAAATCAGACTGCATGTTCTTCAACTGGCAGCCTCACAGAATCAAGCCTTTAGTCTTGTTTTGGTTTGGTGGTTTTTCTTTAGAGATGAGGATGTGTTTTCAACATAGCAATAGCTGGAAGGACTTGGCTTTGTTTTAAATGTTAGTATCCAAAACAGTATTTTTCCCCTGAAGCCTCTGTGGGTTTCTAAAATCTAAAAATGCAGAAATTGCCAGAAATATTGTAGCTATGTTTAATCCAATGCTCTTTTAATTTTTCTGGCACAGAAGGGCACAAACTAATGTGGTGACAGTGGGAAGTTGCAGCCCCCAGAGACCTTTTAAGTAAGATTAATCAGCAGGATGAAGTGGGCATGTGTTCTCTGAACTGCTCTCTGTGTAGCTCTGGCTGTAGAGAACACATATACATACATGTGTAATGAATTGCTGGCACTCAGAAGGTCTAGACTCATGAAATAGCTTAGGTTGAAAGACACCTCAAAGCCCACCCAGTGTCACCCTGTGCCATGGGCAGGGCTGCCACCCAGCAGCTCAGCTGCCCAGGTCTCCATCCAACCTGGCGTTGAGCACCTCCAGGGATGGGGCACCACAGCTTACATGGGCAGCTGTGCCAGCGCCTCACCAACCTCAGAGTAAAGCATTTCAACTTCACGTCTTATCTAAATCTCCTCTCATTTAGTATAAAACCATTCTCCCTTGTCCTTTCATTATTAGACTGTAAAAAGTCAGTCTCTCTCCTGAATATAAGCTTCTTTTAAGTACTGGAAAGATGTACATGAATCACAG